TGAACGATCTAAATAGACCTGGTAGTCGCGAAGAATTAGAAGCTGTTATCAAAGATCTCCCTTCCAAAAAAAGCCCAGGACCAGATGGTTTCAATGCAGAATTCTACCAGAACTTCCAAGAAGACCTAATACCTATACTCCTTAATGTATTTCACAGTATAGAAACAGAAGAGTCATTGCCAAATTCCTTTTATGAAGCTACAGTTACCCTGATACCAAAACCACACAAAGACCCAACCAAGAAAGAGAATTACAGGCCTATATTACTCATGAACATCAACGCAAAAATTCTCAATAAAATACTGGCAAACCGAATCCAAGAACACATTAGAAATATTATCCATTATGATCAAGTAGGCTTCATCCTAGAGATGCAGGGCTGGTTCAACATATGCAAATCTATCAATGTAATCCACCATATAAATAAACTGAAAGAAAAAAACATATGATAATTTCATTAGATGCTGAAAAAGCATTCGACAATATTCAACACCCGATAAAGGTCTTGGAGAGATTAGGGATACAAGGGTCATATCTAAATATAATAAATGCTATTTACAGCAAGCTGACAGCTAACATTAAATTGAAAGGAGAAAAACTCAAATGCATACCACTAAAATCAGGAACAGGACAAGGATGTCTATTCTCTCCATACCTCTTCGATATAGTGCTTGAATTTCTAGCAATAGCAATAAGACAACATAATGGGATCAAGGGGATTCAAATTGGAAAGGAAGAAGTTAAACTTTCGTTATTCGCAGATGATATGATAGTGTACTTAAGCGACCCCCAAAACTCTACCAAAGAACTTTTACAGCTGATAAACACCTTTAGTAATGTGGCAGGATACAAGATCAACTCCAAAAAATCAGTCGCCCTCTTATACACAAAGGATATGGAAGCAGAGAGGGAAATCAGAGAAGCATCACCATTCACGATAGCCACAAATAGCATAAAATATCTTGGGGTAAATCTAACCAAGGAAGTGAAAGATCTATTTGACAAGAACTTTAAGGCATTGAAGAAAGAAATTGAAGAGGATACCAGAAAACAGAAAGTTCTCCCTTGCTCTTGGATTGAAACGATCAACATAGTAAAAATGGCAATTCTACCTAAGGCAATTTATAGATTCAATGCAATCCCCATCAAGATCCCATCAAAATTCTTCACAGATCTGGAGAGGACAATAATCAACTTTATATGGAAAAACAAAAAACCCAGGATAGCCAAAACAATCCTATACAATAAAGGATCTTCTGGAGGCATTACCATCCCTGACTTCAAACTCTATTACAGAGCTACAGTAATGAAAACAGTGTGGTACTGGCATAAAAACAGAGAAGTCGACCAATGGAATCGTATAGAAGACCCGGATTTTTACCCACAAACCTATGAACACCTCATTTTTGATAAAGGAGCTAAAAGTATACAATGGAAGAAAGAAAGCATCTTCAACAAATGGTGCTGGCACAACTGGATGTCAACCTCTAGAAGAATGAAAATAGACCCACATCTTTCATCGTGCACAAAACTCAAGTCCAAATGGATTAAAGACCTCAATATCAGCCCGAACACACTGAAAAGGATAGAAGAGAAAGTGGGAAATACCCTACAACAGATGGGCACAGGAGATCGCTTCCTATGTATAACCCCAGAAGCACAGACATTAAGGGCAACATTGAAGAAATGGGACCTACTGAAACTGAAAAGCTTCTGTAAAGCAAAGGACACTGTCACTAAGACACAAAGGCAACCTACTGAGTGGGAGAAGATCTTCACCAACCCCGCAACAGACAAAGGTCTGATCTCCAAAATATATAGAGAACTCAAGAAACTAGACTTTAAAATGCTAATTAACCCAATTAAAAAATGGGGCACTGAGCTGAACAGAGAATTCTCAACAGAAGAAGTTCAAATGGCCAAAAGACACTTAAGGTCATGCTCAACTTTCTTAGCAATCAGGGAAATGCAAATCAAAACAACTTTGAGATATCATCTTACACCTGTCAGAATGGCTAAAGTCAAAAACACCAACGATAATCTTTGCTGGAGAGGCTGTGGAGGAAGGGGTACCCTCATCCATTGCTGGTGGGAATGCAATATTGTGCAATCACTATGGAAGTCAGTGTTTCAGTTTCTCCGGAAATTCGGGATCAACCTACCCCTGGACCCAGCAATACCACTCTTGGGAATATACCCAAGAGATGCCCTATCATATGACAAAAGCATTTGTTCAACTATGTTCATAGCAGTATTATTTGTAATAGCCAGAACCTGGAAACAACCTAGATGCCCTTCAATGGAAGAATGGATGAAGAAAGTATGGAATATCTACACATTAGAGTACTACGCTGCGGTAAAAAACAATGACTTCTCGAATTTTGCATGCAAATGGATGGATATAGAAAACACTATCCTGAGTTAGGTATCCCAGACCCAAAAAGATGAACATGGGATGTACTCACTCATAATTGGTTTCTAGCCATAAATAAGGGTCACGGAGTCTACAATAGGTGAATCTAAGGAAGCTAAGTAAGAAGGGGAACCCAAGGAAAAACATATAGTTATCCTCTTGGATAAGGGAAGTAGACAAAATTTCCGGGGAGAAAATTGGGATCTTGGGGGTGGGGTGGGATGGGGGTAAGGGGAGATGGGGAGAGAAAAGTTAGAAGGGAAGGAGGTCGGGCCTTGGGAAAACAGGAGGATTAAGATAAAGGAAGGTTGGACAGGGGAGCACGGAACCACAATTCTTAGTTAAGGGAGCCACTTTATGGTTGGCAAGAGACCTGACCCTAGAGGGGCTCCCAGGTGCCCAAGCCGAGGTCCCCAGTTAGTTCCTTCGGCAGTTGAGGATAGGGAACCTGAAATGACCCTATCCTAGAGCAATACTGCCGAATATCTTGCATATCATCATAGAACCTTCATCTAGTGATGGATGGAGATAGAGACAGAGACCCACACTGGAGCACTGGACTGAGTTCCCAAGGTCCCAATGAGGAGCAGAAGGAGGGAGAACATGAGCAAAGAAGTCGGGACCACGAGGGGTGCACCCACCCACTGAGACAGTGGGGCTGATCTATTGGGAGCTCACCAAGACCAGCTGGACTGTGACTGAAAAAGCATGGGATAAAACTGGACTCTCTGAGCATGGCGAACAATGAGGGCTGATGAGACGCAAAGGACAATGGCACGGGGGTTTGATCCTACGTAATGTGCTTGCTTTGTGGGAGCCTAGCCAGTTTGGTTTTTCACCTTCCTAGACATGGACAGAGGGGGGAGGACCTAGGACTTACCACAGGGCAGGGAACCCTGACTGCTCTTTGGACTTGAGAGGGAGGGGGAAAGGAATGGGGGGAGGAGGAGAAGGGTGGGAGGAGGGGGCGTAGGGTGGGAGGAGGGGGAGGGAAATGGGAGGCTGGTAGGAGGTGGAAACTTGTTTTTTTTTCTCCTTTTCTCAATAAAAAAAAATTATTGGGCTGGGGCTCTACAAATAAAACCACTTACCTCACAAGCCTAACAACCTGGATTTAATCCCTGGGTCCTAAAATACAAGGAGAGAACTGTCTCACTCCCAAAAGTTTGCCTTATGCATACATCAAGGCATATATGTTCCCAAACTTACACAAAACACAGAATAATAAAAAAATTATTAAATATCTGAATATTTTATAGGTAATGTTCAGTAACAAACAAAACAAAAAAATGCCTTTGTACTCATGCAGCTCATACGATAGTTTAGAAAGACACAGAATAAAATAAATGATGAGATAGATTTAGTAGATCTGATAAAGTTGATGGAGAAAACTTGTAGTTGGAATTTTTTACCCTTTACTCTTTAGAGGGCCCTCCAACCAGCTCCCCAATAATCACACAGAGGTTATTTCTTTCTTATGCATGCCAGGCCTTATCTTGGCTTGTTTCTAGCCAGCTTTTCTTAATTTAAATTATCTCATCTACATTTTGCCTCTGGGCTTTTATCTTTCTCTGTTATATATACATTGCTTTGCTTCTTACTCCATGTCTTGCTGTGTAGCTGGGTGATTTGGCCCCCGATGTCCTCCTTTCTTTCTCCTTTTCTCTCTCCTTGATATTCTCTTCCCAGATTTTACCTCCTATTTATACTCTCTGCTTGCCAGCCCCACCCATCCTTTCTCCTCCTAGCTGTTGGCCATTCAGCTCTTTATTAGACCAATCAGGTGTTTAAAGCATACAAAGTAACACAGCTTTACATAGTTAAACATATGCAACATAAAAGAATGCAGCACATCTTTGCATCATTAAACAAGCATTCCACAGCAGAAATGAATGTAACACATCTTAAAATAATATTCAACAACAAAAACTCAAGCAGGTAAAGTGACTAGGTGGTTTGTTTGAAAGTAGGACAACTTTAATAAAGGGATACCAAGGAAATCTACATTGAGAAAATTATCTTTGAGCACTTTACACATGTGAGGTAATAAAACATAAACATGTCTGGGTTGGGGAGAATTCTGTGAAGAGGGAATAAGAAGTGAAACAATTCCAAGGTAAAAATAAGTCAAGCTTATTAAAGAAGAAATAGAGCTGAATCATAGTGATCAAGGAATACTTAGTAGGACATGAGGTCACAGACTTAATCTGACTACTACTTACAAGATCTGCTTGCTTACTATAGAAAAGGCTAAAGGAAAGCAAGAACAGAGATGATGATGAGGGGTCGTGTGAAGTTCATAAAGCTAAAAGGCTTACTCTGATGGATAAGATATAGGATTCAAGGGTGAGAAAATATGGCACCCAAGAGAACATAGTTTTGTGGGTGTTGCTTTATTGTTTAGTAGGTGAGGGTGTATTTTGCTTGGGAGACTCACAGGCTGTAGTTAGGACTCACTGGTATAAGTCAATAAATTTCCTTTGTGTGTGGCAAGCGGGAAGTTTGTTGGGTTTTTTTTGTTTGTTTGTTTGTTTTTTGCAATAAATGAACAATTGTGGTTTTGACTTTTCAGACAAAGCAGGAGTCCATGAAGCCTTTGAAGCTGTTCTGCGTAGGACTGTTGTTGTGCCCTGTGCTTTGTTTCTTGTTAGAGACACCTACTCCTCCTTCAGCTTTACTTACCTTTGAATTGAAAGAAAAAGCAGGATTGAAATCAGGTGCAATGAGTGTATTTGCTATTAGGATGAATGTTCCTGACTTCGAAAGACAAAAGACTCAAGTCTCAGGTCAGGAAAAAAATTATTTTCGTGCTGATTTGACAAATGCTCCCTAAGGACAAGGGAGCAATTAAAGTTGTTTTTGGTGACTAAGGGAAGGTTTCACAAAGGTAGTAAAATTGTAAAAAAAATGATAGTACAGTGGGAAATGCTTCAAAGCTCTATTTCTACTAGACACATACATGCTGATCTTATTTGTTCTTGAGTTCAAGTTCTATAAATGGTTGTTCCCTCTCAACTTTCTGCAGTAGACAGTTTAGTTTTCCCCAGCCTCTTTCCTTGGAGTCGCATCAAATCCCTGTCTCCAAATGTTCTAAGGGGAAGGCTCAACATCTCCAGCTTCATGTTGAATAGCAGGCTTTCCCTAAAGTTTTTTTTCCCAATTGTTTTTACCCTTTCTTGTTCTACAGGGATGATGACCTTCTCCTTTCTCTTTCTGGGGCATTAACTTCCCTCAGCCTCCTTTAACATTTTCACACACATTCTAAGTAACAGCATGTTAAGATTGTCTTATTATCATACAGTGCTTCACTGTCACAAAGTAGCCCTTCAGATATTTGAGGTATATATAATACTTCCCATCTGATTGATAACATAAAACTATACCCCTGTGAGAGTACCTTTCTAGAATAATGTTTTCAGCTTGAGGCAACACAGCAAAGTACATATATCATGTGTCCTGGCAACTCCAAGACCATAATATCTGAGACAACTGTTTGATTGCCTTGACTTTGTAGAAGGGAGGCCGCTTGTTTGTCCCGACTGCCCAGAACCGAAATAATCACACAGAGACCATATTAATTAAATCACTTCTTGGCCCACTAGCTCTAGCTTCTTATTGGCTAACTCTTACATATTAATTTAACCCATTTCTATTAATCTGTGTATCACCACGTAGCTGTGGCTTACTGGCTAAAGTTCCAACCAGCGTCTGTCTCTGGTGGGCTACATGGCTTCTCTTCACTTCACCTTTCTTTCTCCTGGCATTCAGTTTAGTTTTCTCTGCTTAGCTAAGTTCTGCCTTTCTATAGGTCCAAAGCAGTTTCTTTATTTATTAATGGTAATCACAGCATACAGAGAGAAATCCCACATCATGTCTTATCAATGAATGTGCATCCTCTTTTTGCAGGACTCCAGAGGTCTTGGACAAGCAAGTTAAAAAATTATCTGTCAGATTTCTTCAAGAGCTCCATACCTCCAGCAGCCATTTTTGCTTTTTTTGTCACCATAGCACTAATGGGGATCCTCTGCTGCCTCACGTAAGCTACTATACAATGAGGAGATGAAAAGAAAGGAAATGTAATGGTTAGGGGGATAGAAACACTCAGGTTCTCTATCAGCTGCTCATTTGAAATTAAGAGAGAGAGTTTCAAGGAAAAGCACTCTGGTAGCAAAACTCTGAAAGGCCCTTTTAAAAAGCTTCAGTATATGGTAAGTGACAGAGCATAAGGAGGAACCTATGACAGCAATCAAGGATATTAAAACATATGAGGCCAGAGAGCAATTGTCCAGTTTTCAAAAATAAGTAGATGAGAGTAGAAAGTAGCAATATAGAGTCAAAAAAGTCAAATTCCTTTCAAATTCATTGATTATTCTGAGCTATGATTTTGAGAGAAATTTATTGCCAAGGGAAAAAACAAGCTGGTTTTAACTGAGTCATCAGTTGTAAACAATATTTAATTACAGTATCTCACCAACTTTGAAGGCCCCCAAGGAGGGTATGTTCCTCAACAGTTGTTGTGGAGATAGCCATAGAGAATAAAGGATTTAAAGAGCCTCACAGACAGTGGACAAGAGAAGTCCTTCTAGAATCTGAACCTAATAAAGGTCTGCCTAGTAGGATTCAAAAATTCTTACTCCCTTGTCTCTCTCATTGTTCCCCCTTTCTAAATAGGAATGTTTGTGATGGTTACCATCTTATAAGCCCTTGTTATTACAGGGTATGGTAATTCGGGTAGATAACTTGTTTTTAGTACATAGATCTGTTAACCAAGAAGGCCCACTACCATACTAGAAAAAAAGCAAGTATTACCCAGATTCTCTAGACTTTGAATTGGATGACAGGAACTGTAGTCTTATAGAAAGGGTATGTTATGGGTCATATGTTCTAGAAGCACACATGAAGGCAGGAATTTGGTATCCAGGGTATTGTAGCTAGGTACTGATGCCTGTAGAAGGCAGAGGGAAGTACATGAACTTCTTTACAAGTCCCACCAAACCTTGTTGACCCCATCAGATTTGTCGTATAGTACTCTGAATCTGAACACCATACCCACATTTTGAGCATTACTTAATGGGGTTTTCAGGAAGAAGTACAGGCAGCTCTCTGCAACAGAGGCAAGCTTTGAAGGACTTAACTCTAGAGGTTATCTACCTACAGTACTCTGAGCAGCTAGATAATAAGTCTTTTCTCAAGGGAGCATCTGGATGGCAGGTTTCCATATATATCACATGGTAGCTGTCTTTCTTGTATGAAAGGAAAAGTAAACAGATAGTGAATGGTAAGAAAGATCTTGTTTATTCTTCTTAAGAAAAATATGACAACATGAAAGCAAACCCTCACTTAAATAAAACACAAAACACAAGACACATTGATGAAAACATATAAAAGATATTGCAGACATTATTTAAAAAGCAACCAGAGCTTAAATAAAGATAAATTGTTTAGTGAAAATAACATTAAAGAAAAAGTAAAAGATATAGGAGATACATGATGTTTTTGATGAAGAGAACAAAAAAACGAAAAGGGAGCAACCATTGAGGGAATAGGCTGGAGCCTAAGACCTCTGTGGGTCCAGGCATGAATCGGGACCTCCAAGGGAATAGACCTGAGCCAGAGAACTCTGCATGATAGGGCCCAAGCCAGGGACCTCCACAAGAGCAGGCTCAAGCCAGGGATATCTGCAGAAACAGGCCTGAGCCAGTGACCTCCTCTGGAGCAGGCCTGAGTGAGCGAACTCCTCAGGACCAGGTTCAAGGGAGCAACTGCCTAGGGAACAACGCAAGTCAGACACTTCTGCAGCACCAGGTACAAGGGAGCCACTACTGAGAGAGTAGGCCAGAACCAGAGACCTCTGTGAACCATATGTGAATCAGCGACCACTGAGGTAACAGGCCTGAGTCAGCAACCTTCACTGGAACAGGCCTTAGACAATGACCTATGCCAGAGCAGGCCCAAGGCAGCAACCACAGCAAAAACAGCCCTAAGCAAGCAAACTCCATGGGGGCAGAACCGAATGATCCCTGCTGTTGCAAGCAACCACTGGGAGCACTGAGTAACCTCCAGGAACATGGAGTGGCCAATGGGGTGACTGGAACCGAGGCCCTGACTGCACCACGAGGAGCAGCCATCTGAACTTTGAATCTACTGGCACCTGGAAGATTGATCACCAGAGACACAGACAGTTTTAACTACACCAATCAGAGGAAAAGATGGATAGACAAAGTAAGAATACATGCAACACCACAAAGAGCAACATGACACCAATAAAAACTAGTGGCCCTGCCAGGTGGTGGTGGCACACACCTTTAATCCCAGCACTTGGGAGGCAGAGGCAGACAGATCTCTGTGAGTTCGAGGCCAGCCTGGTCTACAAGAGCTAGTTCTAGGACAGGCTCCAAGGCTACAGAGAAAACCCTTTCTCAAAAAAAAAAAAAACTTGTACAAGAGCAAGACTTGAACAGCCAAATATAGATGAAGCAGAAGAAAATGAGCTAAAAAATTACTTTAGGAGAAAATTAGAGACCCTTAAAGAAAAAAAATAATAATTCCCTAAAAGAAATGGAGGAAAAGACAAAAAATTGGAAGAAATCAAGAAATCTTTTAAAGAAAAGCAAAAAAAAATCAACCAAATATATAAAAGAAACTATTCAAGACTTGAAAACTTAGAGACAACAAAGAAAACACAAACTGAGGGAATTATGGAAATGGAAATTATGAGAAAATGATCAGAAACCACAAATGCAAGCATAAACAGCAGAATACAAGTGATGGAAGAGAGAATTTCAAGCACTGAAGATATTACAGAGGAAATAAACTCATCAGTCAAAAAAAACATTAAATCTAACAAAAGCTTAACACAAAAAATCCAGAAAATATGGGACACCATGAAAAGACCAAACCTAAGAATAATAGGTATAGGAGAAGTCCAACTCAAAAGCACAAAAACTATATTTAACAAAATTATAGAAGAAAACTTTCCCAACCTAAAGAAAGATATGCCTATGAAGATACAAGAAGCTTACAGAACACCAAATAGACTAGATCAAAAAAAGTCCCCTAACCACATAATAATCAAAACACTAAACATACAGAATAAAGAAAGAATATTACAACTGCAAAGGAAAAAGGCCAAGTAACATATAAAGGCAGACCTATCAGAATTATATCTGACTTCTCATTGGAAACATTGAAAGCCGGAAGGTCATGGTCAAGCCTTATGCAGACATTAAAAGACCACAGATGCCAACTCAGACTTCTAGACCCAGAAAAACTTTCAATCACCATAGATGGATAAAACAAGATATTCCACGACAGAACCAGATTCAACCAATACCTAGACAGAAATCCAGCCCTATACAAAGTACTAGAAGGAAAACTCCAATCCAAGAAAATCAGCTACACACACAAACACAAAGACAATAGATGATCTCACAGCAGCAAATCCCAAATAATGGAAAAGCACACACAATACCATCACCAGCAACAAAAATTAAAATGACAAGAACTAGCAATCATTGGTAAATTGGGAGCTTGGGGACCATGGGGGAGGGTAGAAGGGGAGGAAAGCAGAAGGGAGGGAAGCAGAGAAAAATGTATAGCTCGATAAAATCAATTCTAAATTTTTTAAAAAAGAGAACAAAGCCAGGAAAAAAACCATTTAAAAGTTAATTTCTTCGCTGTAAAAATAAAGGAAGTCTTGAGTCTATAGTCATAAAGGGAGCATAAATGGAGATTCAGTAACATTTTTGGTTAGAATATTTCACAGTATGGACTGCAATAGTCTCTCTGTGCCCCATTTTTGATCCTGTATACTTCTGTTTATCACAAGCTGCAGCTACCATGAATGATTAGGCCATCAGCTCATTACCTTAGGCAGTCACCTGGGAAAACTGGTAAATTGCCCAGTGCTCTGCTAACAACCAACAGGACTCACTGGTACTAATAAGTATATGAACATACGTATGCAATGAATGAACTTATAATGTTGAGAAAAAGAGACTTAAATGTTCATCAGTCTGAACAGAAATAAAGCATAATATATTCATACACACTCCATAATGTTCAAGTGGAAGAATACTTAAAGCATAATATATTCATATACACACCATAATGTTCAAGTGGAAGAATACTTATGTGGGAACATATTTATGAAGCATTATGAGTAAAACAAACAGGGTATAATAAGCATGCATTTTAGCCCAAATTATTATAAAAAACTGAATATAAGGGCTGCAGAGATGACTCAATTAATAAATTTATTTGATAATACTCTGTCACAACTTCTGAATCCTACTACAAGTATATTTGTGTGTGTGCTTTATGTTATTGTATGTGAGTATAGTACATGTATATGGTTCATGCACGTGTGTGTGTTTGCAAATGTGTGCCTGAAGCCAGAAGAGGGCATGGTGTTATACTGTATCACTGCACACTTTATTCTGGTTGAGACATTGTCTCTCATTGAATCTAGAGGACGGCTAGGAACCAACAAACCAGGAATCTTGTTTCTGTCTCCCATAGCACTGGGTTACAGGTTAGTATGACTATGCCAATATCATGGGGCTGGGATCTAAACTTGGCTCCCTAAACTTGCATAGCAGTAAGCACTCATCACTTTAATCATATTTCCAAGTCCTCTGTTTATTTTTTAGGCAAGGTCTCTTCACTGAACTTAGACTTTGGACATGTACATAGAGAGACAGAGACAGAGAAAATTTAAAAGAATAGAAAAGGAAAATCATTGAAAAAGATACATGACACTAAGCTCTAGTTTCTAAAGGCATTTACAAAGTAGTATTCACTCCAAATACATTTGCACATATGTGTGTATACACCCCACACAGACTACATTGGAGCAGATAATATGATTATATGGTAACACTATGCAAACCAAGAGAGTGGATAGGAACATAAACAGTTCAGCATTAATCATCATCTCTTCTTTTCTTAGCTTTTTTGTAGGTGAACCAGTTTACTGAAGAACTGGATGGCTTAATGGGGAAAGTGTGGTATCTAAGTCAACAGGTTCCAAGAGCTGGAGAATTTGCTGTGTGCTTAAAGTGACATTAAATTACTTTTTCCATCTTAAAATATCCTTGCTTTCATTTTTCCTTTAAAAGATGCAGTTGGAAAACGTAAAGAGCTTTACTATAGATTTTATTATAAAAGTGATATGTATTACAGAGAATGCAGAAAGAAAAAGGTATTCAAAATTATAGAACCTAGAAATAAATGTTAACAATTTAATGTGTCTTCTTGCCTTAGGATTCTATTACTGTGAAAAGACATCATGACTATGGCAACTCTTATAAAGGAAAACATTTAATTGGGGCTTGCTTACATTCAGAGGTTCAGTCCATTATCATTATGAAGGAAAGCATGGTGGTGTACAGGCAGATATGGTTCTGGAGAAAGAGCTAAGAGTTCTATATCTGGATTGGTAGGCAGCAGGAAACAAGAAAAACATTGGGCCTGACTTGAGCATTTGAAACCTCAATACCCCTCTCCACCCTGCAGTGACATGCTTCCTCCAACAAGACCATACCTACTCCAACAAGGTCACATATTAAATAATGCCACTTCCTATGAGCCTACTGAGGAAATTTTTCATTCAAAAACCATATCCTTTTGAGATTTTTATTAATGCATATATTACTTGTTCCTTAAAGTCTGTACAACAATACTTCTGTTTAAATAAATGTTATGAAACAACAGGGCTTTGTCATCAATTAGGTTTGGGAGATGCTGGATTAATCATATGTAAATATGGTAATTTGCTCACCAGATTTTAGAAACCTTTGATAGACTAATACAAATCTTGACATAGGATAAAATAAGGAGTATTTTATAAACTACTTTTTAACATAGTGAACATAACATGTGGTTTAACTACCTCCAAATATAGTATTTAAGGCATTTCTGTTTATTTGGTATTGTGAATGTAATGCAAGTAATAGTTTAAATTTTAATTTTCTTTTTCCCTCTTACTTCAGAGTTTAAAATTATTTGGTCCAGGGATATGTTATTTTCAGTAAACAAGGCACTGTTCTGAGTAGGTAATACTAGCTCTGGCTATTATTATTAAAGGGTTTGGTACAGCCACACACTCTAAATACTGTGTTATGTCCTTTCACATGAATTGCTAAAAGTACAATTGTTGGGTTATATTCCATGATCATATTAATGTTTTAAAATATTAATCCAAATACTCTTTGTACATTTTTGTACTTTAGGCCCTCAGCTCTCCTTAAGGTGTCCTTAAGACTATGTTATTTTAGCTGGGCATGGTGATACATACCTTTAATGCCAACACTAGGGAGGCAGAGGCAGGTAGATCTTCGAGTTAGGCATTCTGGTCTACAGACTCAGTTCCAGGACAGTCAGGTCTACAAAATGAAACCCTCCCTGTTAAGAGAGAGATTGTGATCTTGTTATTTTAGACTGGAGAGATAGTTCAGAGGTTAAGAGCACTTACTGTTCTTCAGAGGACCTAGGTTCAGTTCCCAGCACTCACATGATGCCTCACAACTGTCTGCAACTTCAATTCTGTGGAATATGATGCCCGCTTTCTGGCCTCTGTGGATACCAGGCATGCATGTATTATACAGACATACATTCAGGTGAGCTAACATGGGCCAACTATATTCACATAAAATCAGAGAAAATTTAAAAAGGAATTCTTGACACAAAAGAACAGAATTAAGTTTTGGTGGCAATATCTTCTTGGGTGAGCTCTGTTTGCTAGAAGCAAGCAGAGGTGCAATTCTTTTAAGAAAAGGCTTCCTGACTCAGTGGTAGCAGCCAAAACTGTGCAGCTCCTTTAAGAAGGCTTCCTGGTTTGTGCTTTGTGCTAGTTGCACAAACAGCTCTGGCTCTTTCAGGAGGCCAAACAATTAGATGGTATCTGTGAGGAAAAAACAAGATGCACCTGGTCAAAAAATAATTACAGAAATGCAATAAAGACAGATTCAGATGAAAAACAACTCTAAATGGGTCATGGTGTTGGATAAATGTATGTAGGCTTGGGAGAGAGAAGAAAAAGAGTATAGTTATAAAAAGAAGTAAATTGTTTCAAAAATAGAAGAAAGTCTTTAAAGAGACAGAGTACAGACAGTTATAGATTAAAGGAATAGAGAAAAATAAGCCACATAAAGATGGAATACACACAGAAAGTCTGGATTTTATATATTATTGTGTTTTCTTTAAATTTTTTGACTGTGAATGAGGTAAGTACAGAGAGCCATTTTATTGTATGGGCAACTAAGCTAAATCAACATATGTAATTTAAAGGTATCTTGACTTCAAATTTTGGGTCTAACGATATGTTGCTTTGGAAAAGAGGTTCTAGTTTTGTTTCCACAGAGGATGAGAACCTGTGGATTCCTTCCAGACTAATGTGGTTCGATGGAACAATATCCCCTGAAAGGTGTCTTTAAACCCCTAAAATTACTTCACCCAACAAAAAGTAGGAAGCAGTTTGGAAAGAACTATGCCCACATTCCCAAATATTGTTTATGAATATTTGCTTACATTTAAAGATGGAATATGCTATAGAGATAAATACTTTGCATTGGTATGGATCTTGCATTATTAATTCAAATTTAAGATCAATTTTGTTATATGTATATTTCTACTCTTGATTAGGGTATTGTGTTTGTGCAGCTCATTTAAAACTACAATGTATAATAAAGAGATATAGATTAATAGATTATCATCTATAATCATCAAGCTTCTAGACATCTTATTTAGGTTTTCTAGATGTACAGAGATATATTTCAGATGGATAGTTATTCTTCAAACCTTTCAAAGACTGACAGAATATGGAATTTAAAATGTTTTAAAAGCTTAGGACTCTTCATGACAATGAGACACATCTGCTCCTGGCAGCACCAATCTGTTGCGGGAGCTCCTTCCACTCCTTCAGCTGCTGAGCTATTAGCCCATTGGGGCGTGGTCTCTCTCCCTTTAAAAAAGCGGCCACTTCCCTCCTCTTGCTCTCTGGCTTCCAGCTCCGCTTCTGGCGATTAGGCTCCCTTCCTGATTGCACAGAGGGCTGTTGTCTGGGACAGTGATCTGTAAGTTTTTCCCCCTTAAATAAATAACCATTCTATTAATCATAATTCCAAACTGGTGTGGGATTGTTTGTGATTTACGCCTTCACCAATCTACTTCAAGAGGATGGTGGGCATCAAAGAGGCTCCTTATGGAGTTGAAATGGACATGCAGGAGCCACAAGAAAAATGACTGCTGAACTTGCCTAAAGAAGGTGAGATGGTCCTTCAGGGTTCCTGCTTCATGAAAGAGTCTGCCAGACATTCTTCAGAACACAGAAAAAAGTGACTGACAAACTGCCAATATAGGCAGAACTGTGTTTGAAATTTTCTGCTTCACGAAAAAGTCTGCTTTACTATGGACCTATAGGCTGAAGATGGATGCCCCAATGATACAGAAGAACTTGAGTTAACTGTCCGGGCAGTGAGGTGTGTCTGACAATTCTAGAACTTTGAAAGTTGCTTGCAATGCACATCCTGTTTACTTAGGTAATATTAAATCCTTCTAGAGTCTTTGATAGAATTGAAGAATAGATAGTTACAGTTTTCCTTAGTTATGATAAAATATAAAGTGGATATAAACATTGTAACTAGAATTATTGGCTGGTAACTGTTTTGTTGTATATAATCTTGTTATTTTTAAGTTAAAACCTTCCTTTTATTTAGACAGAAAAGGGGAGGTGATGTGAGATTCCCCTCTGTATGCTGTGAATACCATTGGTTAATAAAGAAGCATCTTTGGGCCTATTGCAATACAGAATAGTGCAAGGTGGGAATTCCAAGCAGATAGAGAAGAAGAGAGTAGGTGGAGTCAGGGAAAAGCCATGTAGCCACTGGAAAAGAAAGACATCATCATCTGGAAACTTGCCAGTAAACCATGAGCCTCGTGGTAAAATATAAAATAATAGAAATGGGTTAAAATGTAAGAGCTAGCAAGGAATATGCTAGGGTCATTGGCCAAGCAGTATTTTAATTAATACAGTTTTTGTGTGGTTATTTTGGGCCTAGGCATCCAGGAAATGAACAAGCAGCCTCCAACTACACCCTCATACAAATAAAATAATTTTTCATTAAAAGAAAATAATTTGTGACTCACTGTATAGCTCTGACTGGCCTTGAACTCACAGAAATCCACATGCCTCTGCTTCTCAAGTTCTGGAATTAAAAAGCATGTGCCACTAAGCCCAGTTTAATATTTTAAATCTTAAAAATATTGGGTTAATTCCTTGGTGATTTATTTTGTATATAAGACAAGATACTGCTCTTTGGCTTTGGCTGACCTGAAACTTACTATGTAGACCAGTTTGGCTTTGAACTCACAGCAATTCCTTATCTCAGCCTCATGTGTGCTGAAAATACAGGGTCAAACCCTACAGGTTCATTCTATACCCAGGATTTTTTTTCTTTGAAGGTGTATTTCACCATATTACCAGATTTCACCAAACTTGTAGACCCAAAGAATCTTCCTTCCTTAGCTTCTTTAGTATCTAGATATGCAAATACATGTCACAATGCCTGGAATTCCTGGCTTTAAAAATATTTAATTATGCTATTTATCTTTCTGCTTAGTGTCTCCAATATTTTTTGTAATCCTTTATAAGTAAGATATACTTATTGCATAAAATATAGTTTTTTTGAGACAAGGTCTCACTATGTACCCCCTGGCAGGCCTGAAACTCAATATATAGACCAGAGTGGCTTTAGAGAAATCCTCCTGCTTCTACTTCCCAAGTGCTGAAATTATAGCCATGCACCACCAATACCTGGCATCACTGTGAAATTACACATATGTATAAATCCTTTAGATCATATTTTCCCCACTCAAAGTTAATCCCCCATTTTCCTTGTTCCTGCTCATACTCATATTCATATCCCTATTAGTTCTCTCTCTCACACACACACCCAAGTCAATTCCACATGAGTGAAATATGAAATACTTGGTTTTCTAAGTCTGGCTTATTTGGCTTAACACAATGATCTACATTTCTGTCTACTTCCTGGAAAAAAATGACA